GGTGTGCAGAGGCCAACAGGCTCCACCAAAACCGAATGCTGACACTGGCAGGCCCCTTGATTGTGTGTGATTTTATAATTTACATATAATATCCTGTAGGCCTACCTTTTCTTGAATTACACACGTTTAGGGTTAAAACGGCCAATCTTCGGATAGATGGACACACGCACTTATTTGTGAAATTCTGTGGTTGTTTATGTGCTGTTCTTACTTTGATTTTATTCTGTTGTGAAACCTTTATTTTTCACGTTTTTACACTCTGCGTGGCTACAAATGATCTTCTGGATTCTGCTCAAGAAATTGTGGTGCTTTAGATTAGGTTCCCTCTGTCAACATATGTGTGGCGTGCTGACATCATGAGTTACTTCTCGCAATCCACAAATGGAAATATTGGCGAAAAATCAACACCGAGGTCAAATTAGTAGATCTTCTATTGATGCTCTATTGGTTTATGTATAACATGCCTCTTATTATTTCATACTTATGTATTATAAAACTTCTCCTATATGCACGATGTTTCTATTTCCATAAGACTTGAATCCGAGAAGTAATTCATTTTGTCAGCACACTTCACATATTGCTGCCATCACAGAGAGTTGAAAGCTTGAAAATTAATGGCAACTTTTGCCATTTTTGTGGGAACTTTTGGACCAAAAAAAATGGCAACAAACGCAGAGGCTAGGATAACTAATTTCGCTTTTAGTTTTAAGCATAATGATAACAGACACAGTAGAATCCTGATCAAGTCAACTCTTGCTTACATTCAACACCTCACTGTGGTCCCGTTTCTTACCTTCTTTGTTTAAGTAATTGTGTTTCTGATAGATGTACAGTCAACCGCTTGAGTGTTAACTTTGAGTAAAATCAACAGTTCGGGGCTAAATTCCAAGATGAATTCATTTAAGAAGAGATATTTCGGTCCTGAGTTGATGGTGTACACACCTCCAATTACTTTGTTCACTCATTATCTCTTGTTTTGGTGACAACTTCAGAATTATACTCCCTGAAATTGAGCTAACATCTTGTTACCAGGTACTTTGTCATTTTGTAGCTGTCATCTTCAATTTTCAATGGCGAGTAGTACAATGGATAAAGTCAACCTTGCTCAAAGTCAACACTTTGTTTCGGTCCTGAATTCCACTGTACTTTAATTTGTTTTAATTGTAATTAAGGCGCTTTTGAAATTGACATGATCGAGTCTCAATGTTTTCCTTATTTGTAAGGAAGAGTGTATGATATGCAATATTTTGCTTGAATTGTCTACTCTGTTATTTATTTTTTTTTTGTAAATGTAGAACGGTATATAATCATTATGTGCACACGTAATGATATCTGTGTATGTTTTCTGCACAATTTACCGATCTTAGATTGCGCTGCACGTTTTAACAATCGTATAATTGTGTGGCAATCTTAAGATTGTGGGCCAGTTTTAAGATAGCGCTGCACGTTTTAACAATCGTATAATTGCGTGGCAATCTTAAGATTGTGGGCCAGTTTTAAGATTGCGCTGCACGTTTTAACGAGTATTTAATTATTGTATCATTCTTGTGAGCTCTTCAGTTTCATATCTAATTTTAATTTTAATTTTCATGTTTTTGCACTTTTGAAAATGTATGTGAATTTTCCTCGATGTTTGTAAAACAATAAAGCTGGAAGTGAATTATTATACGATCCTGAAAGCCTCTACTAAAACAAAACAAAACAAAAAGCTGCGTAGGGAGAATATCATACAGTCGACTCCGTTTGAGTTGAACTTGCTAGAGTTGACCTTTGGTTAAGCTGATCTTTTTCTCGGGTCCCACCGCCTCTTCTTCTTCTTTTTAGTTTTACTTTTAGTAGGCAGCGTGGGGGAATCAGGCTCTCGTCAATTGGAAGACCACGTGGAACCTGGAGAAGAATCACAGAAATCGAAGTACAGAAAAGTGGGAAGACATGGAATAGCATCTATCAAGAGGCTAGCCCAGGATTGAGAAGGGTGGAAGGTGTTTGTCCGTGGCCTATACCCTGGTGCAGGGTGAGAAGGTGTTTGTCCGTGGCCAATACCCTGGTGCAGAGTGAGAAAGTGTTTGTCCGTGGCCTATACCCTGGTGCAGGGTGAGAAGGTGTTTGTCCGTGGCCAATACCCTGGTGCAGTGTGAGAAAGTGTTTGTCCGTGGCCTATACCCTGGTGCAGTGTGAGAAAGTGTTTGTCCGTGGCCTATACCCTGGTGCAGTGTGAGAAAGTGTTTGTCCGTGGCCAATACCCTGGTGCCGTGTGAGAAAGTGTTTATCCGTGACCAATACCCTGGTGCAGTGTGAAAAAGTGTTTGTCCGTGGCCTATACTCTGGTGCCGTGTGAGAAAGTGTTTGTCCGTGGCCAATACCCTGGTGCAGGGTGAGAAAGTGTTTGTCCGTGGCCTATACCCTGGTGCACGGTGACAAAATGTTTGTCCGTGGCCAATACCCTGGTGCAGGGTGAGAAAAGCAATGATGACGAAGATGACTTCCACACATAAGGGACAGTGACAAAAACAGACAGTAATTCTTACCACTCTAGTACAGCTGACACCACACGAGAAGCCAACCCAACACAAAATTAGCTGCTTAGACTCATTTTATTTTTTTAAAAGATCGAAATTACAGTCTATGGTAATGATGAAGACAAAATGATATACACGAAAAACAAAATATATTTTTATATAGTATAATAACACGGATAGGTCGAACACAGAAGACTTGCAATCACGCATCCGTCCAACTGTGCTTGCGATCTCATTTTTTCTTCTTTTTCATCTTTGTAAGATATCCCTCGAACTACGGATCCCTTGAACTTTTTTTTTTTTAAGGGGGCTCCAGTGGCTAAGTGAGTAGTGAGTTTTGACTCAAGCAATGTCAAGCAAGTGTCGGTGACACGGGGATCAGATGGGTGGTCACTGGAGTGTGTCCTTGACCAAGACACGACAACCCTAGCTCAAATTACAAGGCGCTGCACAGTGGTGACCGACAGTGGCATTGTTTGTAAACTGTTCTGTATTTGTGTAATAGTGTGTATTTATGTATGTATTTATGCATGTATGTATTTATGTATGTACGTATTTATAATTATGTATTTATGTATGTATGTTTGCAATTGTAAAACAAAGTGCCCTTCTGGGACAAATAAAAGTGTAATTTATTATTATTATTATTATATTATAACTACCGAAGCTGGTCTCGAGGAATTCGAGCTATCCGTGTTATAGTGTTATACTGTATTCAATGTTTACTCTTCTTGGGTTATGTAAAACTTGAATACAGCGTACTCACATACCTAGAGTTGAATGTGGAACAACTTCACAAAGTTAAAAGTTCTTTCAGCCAGACAATAGTCACAGAGAACAAATTATTCAGATGAAAAAAAAAAAAAACCATGATAATGTACCGGCAGGTGTTTTTATGCCCCCTTTCGACCCACTTTAGATCATTAAGAAGGCGAGTGCAACTGCATAATGTCAAATGAGCGCCAAGGGGTGGACATCGACAGTGAAGTCCAACACAACCCCCCCCCCCCCCCACCCCCCCAATCTGATGGACACACAATGTGCAAATAAAGAGCATATGCTACAATAAGAAAAGGTTCTTAGATAATTGAAATCTGAAGGGAGGGAAGTAGCACTAGGGTGGCCTACTTCCTCTTTCAGTACCAAACGCGAAAAAACTGTATCATGCGTACTGATTTAAGATCGTCAGTCAATACGTAAAAGGTCACAGACATATAATATATATAAATAAATCTTTCAGTCTTTAAATCTGAACGGCAAACACGTAGTCCTAGAGAGTGGATCTACGAGTAGTTGACAATTTATCTGATACAGTGCATACATCAGTAGCCAAAGCTTGGCAGTCTTTGTATTTCTTTATTCAAACTACCTCTGCAAAGATTATAATTAATTTCAGAACAAACGGGCTCCGAACATTAACAGGAAATTTCACAATGAAATGGTTGGCAATTGTTGAGCAGAGGACCGGTTAAGAGAAGGAAAAGCAATTCTTCGAGTCATTCACAACTATTGATTTTTCTCACATTCAACTTTTTTTTTTTTTTGGTTAGTGTTTTACGGCGCTCGCAACTGCATAAGGTCATATGAGTGCCCGGGACACATTAAACATTTTCAGTTGGTACAAAATTTGGAATTTTGCTCGGGTGGCAGCCGCAGCCTACTCTTACTGATTTTAAACCACCCTGGGATCTTTAACGTGCACAGCTTGCATACGGGACCTCAGAGATTTTTAGCCCTTGTCCAAGAAGGCTAGATGTAGATCTTTCCTACCAGAAGACCAGGGGTGTGGCTGAATGACAGACATTCAACTCTGTGGCCACAAGCGCAAACGCTATTTTTTGTTAGATCACTTTACTCATTTTATGGATGTGTCAAACACATATGTCAACCATGGATGTGTTCTTTATTTTTATTTTTTTTATAGCAGAGGGTTTTACGGCGCTCGCAACTGCATAAGGTCATATGAGCGCTAAGGGGTGGGTGTCAACAGAGAAGTCTGCTCACCTCTCTAGCTTCAACAGCACAAGGTCTGCTTCGACTATCAAAGCACCCCGGAAATAGCAGGTCACGAGAGAGTGACAAACATACAAAAGAAGTAGAGGAAAATGACAATAGTAAGGATCAGGAAACGAAAAGCAGCAGTTCCGTGTTCTAGATCAGGCACAGTTATGAGCGTGACATGAGTCAGCCCATTTACAATTCTACTATGCTTGAACGAGAAAGGTCCCCCCTTTGGGAATGGCCTAAAGACACAAAAGTCAGTGGCACTGCCACTGGGGGGTGGGGGTGGGGGGGGGTTGTGGATGTGTTCAAAATATACGTTCTCGACAATATCTTCAACAAACGCACAACAAATACATAGCTTACAAAAACTGCACATCAGGGAGTATCCTCAACAAATACAACAAATTATACATAGCCTACAACTGGATCGATAACAACATAGATAGCCTACAAAAAAAACCCCAGCAAATCTGGGAGTGTCATAACGTTAGAGTATTCTAACAGAAGATTTAATCCCAATTTTCTCTTGATTCCATCTGCAAGATCTCCGTCCATCGACATGAACATGCTCTCCTGTGTCTGCTTTAGACCCAGGGTTCCCATCCTCCCCAGGTGCGGCCCAGGATGTTGGGGTCTGTGGTCTGGTCAATGAGCGCGGCCACCTGTTGCTCCACAGACAGTCCGTGAGCAGGGAGCCCGGCCCGCACGCTGTCCTTCCCCATCAGCACGTTGACCAGTGACTTGAAGGCCGGCCGCTTAGAGTGACCCAGGGCCAGTTCCTCTCTGAGAGACGAAAAAATATTTTAAGACGAATACATAGGCCTATATATGAGAAGTGTGCTGACAAAATGAGTTACTTCTCGGATTCTAGACTTATGGAAATAGAAACATCATGCTTATAGGAGAAGTTTTATAATACATAAGTATGAAATAATAAGAGGCATGTTATACATAAACAAATAGAGCATCAATAGAAGATCTACTAATTTGACCTCCGTGTTGATTTTTCGCCAATATTTCCATTTGTGGATTGCGAGAAGTAACTCATTTTGTCAGCACGCCTCATATATACTGTCTTCTTGGTCCTATTCTGTAACAGAGAAACTATTGTTATGTACTGTTAGGTACCAGTTGTGCCTAGTAGACCCCCTACTTCCTTATGAGGGTCCAGCAATTGTAATACCAACAACCCTTGCCGATAAAACTCCCGCACTATTTTATAACAATCGATTTTTAGTCTTCTATTTCCACTGCTCTTTCATCAAGGACCTGGGAAAGAAAATACTATCACATAGCGGGATATCAGAGAAATAGTTCACAGTACCAACAATTAATTGTTGAGATGTTATTGGTGATTTATAATTATAACCTATACATTGGACTAAGAATTGAGAGTGCAGAATGAAAGGAAAAAGAAACCCCGCCAAACCCCGATACAGATGACAATCGGTCTTTGTTTGCGACAGTAGCACTAAAGTTTTGGTCTTTGATCTCCTCTGCACCAGTGACTGTCCCTGGTTCGATTACTTTTACAGTAGCCTGAAGAAAGATGCGGGTCAGCGGGTGAAGAAAGCTAGACAGCAGTGGTTCTGATTTCTGATATTCGGCGTAAAATAGTTATGAAAAGAGATCAAGGGCTAGAGAAAAAGAAACCAAATCAAAATAAACGAAACAAAACGAAACAATAAATAAGAAAACAATCAATCCCCCCCCCTCACACCCAGGTTGCTGCGAGATGAAACCAGTATCATAAATAATAATCATAATTTCTAAAATTCTTGTGTAATATTTACTCCACTTGGGTTAGCCTGTCTTAGCCCACTGCTGATACAAAGGAAGGGGATGTTTCAGTTTTTTTCTTAAAAATGCTTTTAAAGTAATTTTTTTAAAATGACATGGTGAGCCTGCCTTATCACATTGCTGGTATAAAAGTAGGTCATTATTTAATTTTCTTTTAAAAAATGTTAAAGTAAAATTTTTTTAAAATACAAACGCGATTCAGGTTTTGGAGAAACTTCAATTTTAACAAGTTTAAACTTTTGATAGAATTCTGTAGCATAGTTCTAAAGCGAACTTGGGAGATTCGATAAGGTTGAAAGATAAGAAATCTCGACATTGATGGCACTCATTGTCATTACTCAAAGTACAAATTCTTTAAAAATGTTTTTTCTTATAATAACTGCGACAAGGGCTACGCACCATAATGCGCATTTTGATATACATGTAATATTATATTTTTGCGCTCTACAGAGAGTCGTGTGGACATTTAGCTTATCTGATACAGCTGCATACTACGTACCACATGATCAACGTTGTATCAGTTTACAAAAGACGCTGTGATTAGCTTTATACACCAGACAAGTGTGTGTGTGTGTGTGTGTGTGTGTGTGTGTGTGTGTGTGTGTGTGTGTGTGTGTGTGTGTGTGCGTGTGTGTGTGTGTGTGTGTGTGTGTGTGGGTGTGGAGGAGAGAGAGAGAGAGAGAGAGAGAGAGAGTGAGGGAGATAATGATAGTGCTGGCAAAAAGTATGGTTTAGACTTCCTATTTTGAATGAGCTTTTTTGTTTTGTTTTGTTGTTCTGTTTTGTTTTTTTTCTTTTTGCCGCTTTTTCTAAGGAACGTATTTCCTTCTCCGATACCGACAACTTAATTGTTGGGTGGGGGAGGAGGGCAGGACTAAAATGTTCGTTTTGAGCCGGAAATGCTATGTCAAGTACAGAGACACCCCGTTTAACCACACTTCAAGGTTCAATATGTATCGATTTAAAATTACAGGTATTCGTAGCAAAAGAGCAAGCGCATTCGCAGAATAGGTATTTTTAGCAACTATTTTTCTAAAGAGAATCTCCAAACGTTGGCTTTGGAGGGTTTTTGTCGTTGTTGCTTTTGTTGTTTTATTTCGAATTTTAGCTAAAGTAATCTAGGGGTGGTGGGTGGTGGGTGGTG